TTATCTCATAATTATTATTCAAATGTTTTCATGTAAAATGATTAAGTGCACTGGTCGTTGACTTGACTTGACATGGTTAAGTGCACTGGTTGTTGACTTGACACTTCACTCAAAACCTACTAAAGCGAGTAAGCTAAGTCTGGAGTAACTCTGCACAGTATTGCATTGTGATTTATCTGAAACCTGCTATTCTCTCATTTCTTGTCTACTGAGGAAAGCAGGCAAACAACCAAAAGTACTTGAGGGGCTGACTGATTGCACTCAAAGGAAACAAGCAAATATTTAGACAAAGGATTCCAGCATAACTATTATAGGTAAATGCATCCTTTGCTCTAAGGAAACCAAAATGGGGCCTGTTAGGATGTATTTCTCAGCAAAGTGAAGATATCTGAAGGAAGGGCAGAGTGGAAAGTTTCCCAGGAACCAGGTAGTATTACAGCTGCACTTGCTTTGTTGTTGTTTAGTTGCCCAGTTGAGTCCGACTCTTCACGACCCCATGGACCACATCATGCCAGGCCTCCTTAGAAGTCTTGCTCCTGGACATTGCTCTCCCATTCATTGGGGGATTTCTCTTAACGGGCCGCTTCCAGAGTATTTTTCCTGTCTGATTGATTCCTATTCTAGAAGGGTATTCATGCTGGCCTGTTTTAATGTGCTCCCCTCAGCTGTGTTATAGGGGAGATTTTTAAAAATACCATTCCCGGATAGGTTATGTCCCTGTGGGCTAAAGGAGATTGAAGGAACGGACTATATACTACTAATTTATAGATTTTACCAGGATTTACATGCTTATAACCTCGTCCCTATACTGTGTTCCCTGGAGGGCAAATCTGAGGAAAGTAAGATAATGAACCTCCTAGCCTCAAACAGGGCTGATACCATCGAAGCAGTGGCAAACTTCCTTTATAGAGCGTATAGGAGGAGAAGTTCTTTTTTGGCAGAAGGGGTAGTGAATTAACTGTTTTGTTTGTTTGCCGTTTCTGTACCGAAGGCTGCTGTTGTTATGACAATAAAGTTTTGTTGTGTTGTGTTGTGTTGACTCTTCGTGACCCCATGGACCACATCATGCCAGGCCCTCCTGTCTTCCATCTTCCTCCAAAGTTTGCTTAATTTCATGTTCATTGCATCGATAACACTGTCTAACCATCTCATTCTTTTCCGTCCCCTTCTTCAATCTTTCCCAGCATCAGGGTCTTCTCCAGTGAGTGCTCCCTTCTCATTTGGTGGCCAAAGTATCTGAGCTTCTGTTTCAGTATCTGGCCTTCCAGGGAACAGAGAGTTGATTTCTTTTAGGATTGACTGATTTGATCTTGCAGTCCAAGGGACTCTCAAGAGTCTTCTCCAGCATCATAATTCGAAAGCATCTATTCTTCAGCGCTCAGCCTTCCTTATGGTCCAACTCTCGTAGCCATACATTACTACTGAGAATAGCATTGCTTTGACCATACGGACTTTAGTTGGCAGGGTGATGTCTCTTTTTATTATGCTGTCAAGGTTTGCCATAGCTTTCCTCCCAAGGAGCAGGCATTTTTTAAGCAAAAGACACACTTGCTATGAGCACCAAATAAATACAGTTTGGGAAAGGCAATGAAGGAAATATTAGGTACCTTGCAGGACCTGACATTTGGGAGCAGACAATATGACAGTGGGCTACATCTTTAATGTGTCCTCTTTTGGTTTTCTGCTACAGTCCTGCCAAAGTCTAATTTTTTATTGTTCGGTTCCAAAATGACTGCTCCTTAATGTCCCACTTGCAAAGCACAGCAATGATATTTTTGATTGCCTGTGATGTTTAAGTCATATATCTTACATACTGCTAGGGATGAGCATGAACAAGCTCACAAACTAAAGTTCATGATGAATTTTGGCCACTTCAAGGTTTACGGAGTCAAGCTCATGGCAGGTCAACTGGCATGGACTTTCTGTGGACTTTCTGTGGACTTTCAAGCTGTTTGTGGAGGTTCGTTGAGAGCCAGTTTGGTGCAGTGGTTAAGTGCACAGACTCTAATCTGGGAGAACTGGGTTTGATTCCCCACTCCTCCACTTGCACCTGCTGGATGACCTTGGGCAAGCCGTAGCTCTGATAAGAGCTGTTCTTGAAAAAGAGCAGTTTCTGTCAAGAGCTCTCTCAGCCCCACGACAGACTGTCTCCGCTCAATCAAAATGTTTACATAACTTCAAAGCAACAACTTGGAAGACATATAGAGGAACATCCTGGGTAGGTCCGCTGTGATTTTGATGTCTCTGCCTTGCACAGGATCCATTCTATATACTCCTGAACCTTTTCAACCTACACCTGTCATCATGATAGCTGACAGGCAGTCATTTCAGGAGGTCCAGGGGTGTACAGAACACATCCTGTGCAAGCTAGAGACACCAATCTCCCTCCCCTGGATACTCCTCTAAATGCCCCCCCCCCAAGCTTGGTGTCTCCAGTTTGCACAGGATCTGTTCTATATACTCCTGAACCTCTTGAACCTGTCCCTGTCAAAATGATCACCATTTTGACAGGTGCAAGTCCAGGAGGTTCAGGAGTGTACAGAACAGATCCTATGCAAGCTAGAGACACCAAACTCACCAGAGATCTCCATCTGACTGTCTTCTACCTGCCCTCCAAGGGTGGTGAGGACTGGATTTACAAGGCCCGAGTTGCCGCCCCCCAAAGAAGGTGTCTCCAGGAAAGTGCTTTCTGGGGAAATGACAGGCAGTAAATCCAATCCTCACCAAACTTGGAGGGCAGGTAGAGTGTAATGTACTGGGAGTATTACATAAATCGCCTAATTCACTTACAATGTTAAGTTTCGAGCCAGCCAGGGCTCCATCTACTCTCGCACCCTATTGGTCATTCTGAACAAGCGACCAATCGCAGCTAAGCAAGGTCCCTAAGCGGGAAGAGTTCCCATTGGTCTTTATCCTGACAATCTTATTGGTTGTTATTTGTAAATAGGTGTGGCTATGTTAGCCCGGGAATGTTTAAAAGGAGCCAAGCTCCCAATGTTAATCTGTTCTGGTTCTGAATGCGTTTTTTTGTGTTTGTTCACTACTTCAATAAAGCTGAATCACTGAGCTGAAACCACTCTCCGAGTCTTTGTTAGTCCGATCTAACATAGAGGACAGTCCGCCAGAGTTCCCCTGCAAGTCTGGTGTCTCTAGCATGCCAGTGGGGGCATTCTACTGCCTCATGAACAGTACATGGTTAGCAAACGGGGCATGCCACGAACCATGAACTGAACCACATTTTCCCAGTTTATACTCATCCCTACATACTGCCTTTCTGCTTTCAAAAGCCAACTTGATATAGAAGAGCAACACAGAGTGGGGATTACTTCTTTGTTCTGAATTGGCCAGAGTTATAACTTCACCTTAAAGACAGAGTCCAGGGCTATTTTTGGCTAGGAACGCGCAGGAACGGAGTTCCGGCTGGCTCCCAAGTTGGCCACGCCCAGCAGGAACTCATTAGCATAATAGGCCACACCCAACAGCAGAAACTCATTAGGATTGGCTACATGTGGGGTGTGTGGCCTAACATGCAAAGGAGTTCCTGCTACAAAAAAAGGCCTTGGGTTTGGACAACAAACAAGTTAAACAGAATAAGAAGCAAAAGGTGGGTGTGGCTGGATGACCACACTTCTGGTAACATGGGGGTGCGGCCTAATGTGCTAATGAGCTGTGCTGTCAGGGGTGTGGCCTAATATGCTAATGAGTTCCTGCTGTTGGGTGTGGCCTATTATGCTAATGAGTTCCTGCTGGGCTTTTTCTACAAAAAGAGCCCTGCAGAGTACAAATTTCTTTACATAGGTCCAGCCTGATACGGAAGATATAGAATGTGGCCTTGAGGATGAGAAGCGTGGACAGCTACAGTATTCCCTGGAATATGACTTCCGTAGCCAGGAGGTATGATTTGCAAATCCAGACTGAAATATTTATGTAGTGCCGTTTTATGGCAAAACCACCATGTCTTCCCAATGACCTTTTCTCCTCTCAGCATTTCATACCCTTTTCGTGTCTCTAACCCTGTAATTACTCCTTCACGCCACTTAATTTCCAGAGCCAGCAATTACTAGTATGCTGATGTTCTTTTATATTTGGCCCATCACTGCACAGGATTTCAGTACAGTAAGACATCTGAATGGCCGAGTTCAGACTGGCCGTTTGCCCCAATATAGGCACGTTTCAGAAATGTTCCACAACCGGATTAAAGGGGCTGTTCACATGAGCACATCTGGCGTTCCCCAGCGGTACTCAACCCGTCTTGTAACGCTTCGCTCCCGAGTTTAAAAGATACCCGGGGAAAGTGGTATCAAACCCTGGAAAGTGCGATTATCCCGCTTCCATCCTGCACCAACAAAGTGTGAATGCTGATGTTTTTGAATTCTTGTGCGCTGATGCACATAAGCACAAAGCTGCACCTTACAGCCGTGCTTCTGCCACGGACGGGCCAACAGTGCGAATGCTCCCTTGCACCTCCTCCCCGGTATGCTCCTGCATCAGTCAGTGCAGTGTGACCGGGAAAACCCGGAACAGTTTGTTCCAGATCTTTTTTTGCCATGACTCCCTCCCGCTTCAAACTGCCAGTCTGACCTCGGCCAATGTGTCTCGAATGCTTCATATGATTCACTCCTGTCCTCTTCTATTCTAAACAGCTTTATCTGCTTTTCTTTTTATAATTATAACCCCCTTTAATCAGCTAAAGAAGTTCAAAGTGGCTAACAACAAATAACCGGCAAACTTCTGTGGTCTTCGCATTTCCATATCTTACTTGCTTTTCCCATTCCAGTAACTGATTTCTGCAGTACCCAAACTTAATGCTTGTTGCTAGCGTATCAACTTAATGTTTCAATGTCGATACTTTTAAAGCTGAAGGTTGGAGTAAAGCAAGCAGCAGATCTGAAAGCAATGGACAGTGGAGGTACTTCTGATCCCTATGTGATTGTCTATCTAACATCGGATATGAGGAAGAAGTATGAAACAAAGGTTTACCGTAAGACACTCAACCCTGTTTTCAATGACAGTTTCGTTTTTCAGGTAGGAAGCAAATTCTAAAGGAATAGCTATGTTGTCTGCTGGAGTTGAAAAGAGTTTTGTAGCAAAGCACCTTCAAGACTCACAAATGTTCCGTAGCTTAAGCTTTTGTGGATTTTTGTGAGCCATGTTTTTCAAATGCATCTAAGGAAGTGGGTTCACGAAATTTATGCCACAACAAATGTGTTACTCTGCAACATCCCACAAACTAAGAAATGCAGTATTCTCTGTCAGCTAACTGGCCCATTTATGTTCAGTTCAGTAATCTGTATTTGTTTACAGGATATACCTTGGGCGATTTCTCACTAGAGCTGCCTCGCAGCACAGCCGCCGTTTGCCCCGACACAAACATGTCAATTTCACACCCGAAGCTCTGGGGCTGCATTTTGACTCGAGGCTTCGCCCGATTTCCTTCGCAGTTTCGTGATCCTGGTTTTTGAGGATCATGAAACTACGGAGGAAATTGGGCGAAGCCGCGGGTCAAATGCAGCCCCGCAGCCTCGGGTGTGAAATTGACAGGTTTGTGTTGGGGCAAACGGCGCTGCGCTGCGAGGCAGCTCTAGTGAGAAATCGCCCCTTAAGTCAAAGAATCCAGTGACTTGGTGTAGTTTAACCATATAAATAACCAGAAGAACATGATAGACCTGTCTAAAGCAAGTTCTATTGAAATCAGTGGGACTTAACTTCCACATCATGTCTTTAGGATCAAAGTGCAAGCCATATGTTAAAAAAAAAAAGTCCTGGAGATTTGCCATTACATAGGCAAAACAGTTTGGGCTGGTGAGCATATGGTGTGAAACTTCTGAGATTATGGAGTGTCATTGTACACTTTGAATCTAGGAGTCCAAGGGAGACTTGGTATTTATCTCCAAAAGCTATGGGAGGGCAGTCAGAAATACAAATACGGGACTTCTAACGATCAAAAGATGAAACATCCTTGTTATGAAGACAAAACAACATGATGGATATTTACAAAATTATGAACGGCATGGAGAAAGTGACATGAGAAATTTCGCTTAAAAAAACCTCTAATCTTTGAGTTAATTGATCGCAAGTAGGTTCAGGATTCGTAAAAGGAATTATCTTTCCATGTAATACTTTACGTTACTGGATAGAGCCGGCGTGGTGTCGTGGTTAAGAGTAGCAGGCTCTCATCTGGAGAACCCAGTTTGATTCCCCACTCCCCCACATGCAGCCAGCAGGGTGACCTTTGGCCAGTCACAGCTCTCTCAGAGCTCTCTCGGCCCCACCAACCTCACAGGGTGTCTGTTGTTGGGAGAGGAAGGGAAGGTGATTGTAAGCCACTCTGAGATGCCTTTGGGTAGTGAAGGGCGGGGTATAAATCCAATCTCTTCTTCAGTGTTGCACAATGTGGTGATAACTATCAGTTTAGGTAAAAGGTAAAGGTTCCCTTGCTCGAAAGCCAGTCGAATCCGACGTTAGGATTGCGGTGCTCATCTCCGTTTCAAAGCCGAAGAGCCAGCGCTGTCTGAAGATGTTTCCGTGGTCATGTGGCTGGCATGACTAAACACCAAGTCGCACGGAACACTGTTACCTTCCCACCGAAGCGGTACCTATTGATCTACTTGCAATTTCTTGCTTTCGAACTGCTAGGTTGGCAGGAGCTGGAACTACAGACGGGAGCTCACTCCGTCATGCGGCACCCGAGTCTCGAACTGCTGAACTACTGACCTTCCACAGCCTGCAGTTCAGCGTCTTAACCATTTGAGCCACCGCAGCTCCTTTTAACTATCAGTACACTTGGCTTTAAAAATAAGTACATAAATTCCTGGATGAGCAGTCCACTCCATTACTTAAGATAACTAAATGTGGAATCTCCATATTCAAATGCTTCTGAGTACCTGGGTGGTGGGGACAAATGGCTAGGAGATGAGTATCGTTGTCATGTTCACTTGATTATCTTCCTTGGGGAATTGTTCTGCCCATTGTTTTGAGATACAGCACTGGTTAGATGGATGTTTGGACCAATTGAGTCAGATAATTATTGCATTCTGAAGATGAAGATGTAATATAAAATAGACGGAGTTGCAATTCTATGCATACTTACTTGGGTGTAAGCTCCATTGAACCCAGTGGGATTTATTTCTAAGTATACATGCCTAGGTTGGGGCTGTAATTTCTTCATTAAACCCATACAACTTCCAGAGTGATTTGACCTCATTAGAGGACTTTGTGAATCAGATTCATTTTTTCCCTCCTTGCAATCTTTCCAGATACCCCAGGCGGAGGTAGCTGAATCCACCCTGGTGATGCAGGTGTATGATTTCAATCGTTTCTCCAAACATGACATCATTGGCGAGATGCGGCTGCCTCTTGGGGATGTTGACTTTCAACATGTTATTGAGCAATGGCACGAGCTCACTGCAGCCAGCAAGAATGAGGTTGGTATCTCAGGCAAGTAGGTGGGAATGCAGCTAGTCAGAGAGGACTGGGAAAATATCCTATTATCATCGCACTCGTTAGCACTGTTTGTTGATTCCTCCTTATTTCCATAAAGAGGCAACTCCTTGTATAATTGTTTACAAATGAAATCATCTTGGTCGTGTTGTGTACTAGACATAGACCTCTTGCATGATGTCTCCATGGCCCAGTCCTATGCTATATAACGCAAGGGCAACACTTGCGTTGGTTTATTTATTTAGTCCAATTGCGTTCAGATGCACCATTTGATCTGGTGCCGTCACGCTTCAGTAACGGATTCTATATGCACAATCACATGGTCAACATCTGCCTCCCATCCCCATGAACTGGGGAAATGGAGGTTTGTTTTTGTTTGTCGTTTGTGCAGCCACATGGACGACGAACCACAGCCCTTCACAGGGCTATTTTGGGGCAGGAACGCACAGGAACGGAGTTCCGGCTGGCTCCCGAGTTGGCCACGCCCAGCAGGAACTCATTAGCATAATAGGCCATGCCCAACAGCAGAAACTCATTAGGATTGGCTACATTAGGGGTGTGTGGCCTAACATGCAAAGGAGTTCCTGCTACAAAAAAAGCCCTGGGTTTTGACAACAAACAAGGTAAACAGAATAAGAAGCAAAAGGTGGGTGTGGCTGGATGACCACACTTCTGGTAACACAGGAGTGTGGCCTCATATGCTAACGACCTGTGCTGTCAGGGGTGTGGCCTAATATGCTAATGAGTTTCTGCTGTTGGGTGTGGCCAATTATGCTAATGAGTTCCTGCTGGGCTTTTTCTACAAAAAAAAGCCCTGGCCCTTCACAGACCTTTCCATTTACCAAACCGGTTCATTTCATGAAGTTTGTGATGTGGTAGAATGGCACCCCTGTGGAGGGCATGAACATAACTTGTTGCTTTGCTCACACTTGCACCTTACCCCCGGGCCTCCTCCCTTTACTCATACACAGAGCACTACTAAAGGCTACAGAATTCGAGAAGCCTTGAATCACACATGACATCTGAATGAAGGGACCTGGGAAAATTGGAGTCTGAGTCAAGGCTTTCCATACCTTGAAACCTTCAGGTGTTCTCCGTGTAAAAGGGTGGGTGCCCTGTGAGTACAGCAAATTTTGTATCTATGCCTGTCATAATTGCAACTCTGGCCCTGGTCACATGGGCCAGATAACACGGGGGGGAGGCATGGCTGTTCGCCCCGGAGCAAAATAAAACGTGGTAGCCCGATCACACGGTCCCCTGAGTCTCCGTGCTTCAGCTGTTAGCTGGCGATCACACGGTGATGCTGCAGCATGGCAAAGAAGCGGTGCAGCACGATCACACAAACATTTCACGTTTGTGCGCATGCGCAGTTCTGCAGAGCAGCACTACTTTCAGTTTCGTGTTTGTGCGCATGCGTTTATGAAAAACATCCGGTTTGCGATGGGACATGGACGGGCGCCGAATGCCACGGGATACTAGTGCTCCCGCGATCAGACGCCCACCTGTGCCACACGTTTTCCGGATACTAGTGCACTTTCCTTGGTACTTTTTAACTCCGCATCTTCGGTGGGATGCCACGGGTTGGCCACCGGTGCTCTACGCTTTCCAGATTTTGTGGTGTGATCCCGCCCCGAAAATCCGCCCAAAATTCGTGCCTTTCACGCGGCGAATTCTCCGTGTGACCGGGGCCTCTGTTTGGCATGACATTTGAATGCAGCCACTGAGTAGCCATAGAAGGTTTAATAAGGGTCACTGTTACCTATATATGTTATAAACCTTAAAAGTCTCAGACACATTTGGGCACTGTGGTCCCAGAAATGCTGTCAAGGGAGATGCTTTTCTAAAAGAAAGGTTTCCAGAAACGGGCTTGTATAGGAGCCCTGCCTTGTGCCCTGGAGGGAAACTCTGGTTCTTCAGTCTAAGAATAGGGGGCCGTCTGCAGTTGCTCAGTGGTGATATCAGACCCTTGAGTCAATCCACGCTCAGCCTAATAGTATTTTCATGAAAGCTTTATTAGAAACAGAGATTTAGATGCGCACAAGAGAGAACTCTTGTTCAGAGTATAAACTAGATCAAGGGTTAGGTATTGTATAGGTAATAGATCAATGTCCCATAATGCAATGGCCATGCAGCGGGCATTCCCTCCCCCACTCTCTCTCACTCCCCCTGCATACTACCCCGCACTACAAGGTTTATTATCTAGCAACAGATGTTTCTTCAAGGAGGAGAGTCTCTTGGGGCTCGTTCTCATGGGAAAGTCATTACCGGCAAAGCTAACCTGACACCCGCATAGGTAAAGGTAAAGGTTCCCTTGCTCGAAAGCCAGTCAAGTCCGACTCTAGGGTTGCGGTGCTCATCTCCGTTTCAAAGCCGAAGAGCCAGCGCTGCCCGAAGACGTTTCCGTGGTCATGTGGCCGGCATGACTAAACACCAAGGATCACGGAATGCTGTTACCTTCCCACCAAAGCGGTACCTATTTATCTACTCGCAATTTCTTGCTTTCGAACTGCTAGGTTGGCAGGAGCTGGAACTAGAGACGGGAGCTCACTCCGTCATGCGGCACACTTGGGTCTCGAACTGCTGAACTACCGCCCTTCCACAGCCTGCAGTTCAGCGTATTAACCACTTGAGCCACCGCAGCTCCTTGACACCCACTTGACAACCCCCCACACACAGATATATGGCATTCACACCTACTCCCCCCCCATCCCTCGGAATCTTTATGCCAAAGAGGGCTGGCAAGGGTTGAGACCAAATGGTCGGAAAAAACGAAAGCGAACTACAAAGACGGAAACAAAAGGAAACATTAGTCAACATTACAATCAGCAAAGCCCGATTCTGACAGGTGAGGACCTCCGCATATTTCCACAGGGACTTTTCTTTTATTATATAATGCTCGTTTTTTAAACAAGAGGCTTCACTGAAGATGGAAGAAGGCAGTGATAAATGGGCATGGTTAAAGGAGGAGTCATGGAACCACAAAACCAAGACCAAGAGTATCTACAGGATACTGTTAATTTATTCATACCAGTGGAGAATGTCAACTTCAAGCTTTATATCTGATAAACGTTTGAGAGACAGAGAACAACATTTATAATAAAATTCTCCTGTCTGCCCTACTTCAGTTCCATTTCTTAGTCAAGTTGAGTACGTAGCCGTTGGCTGAAAAACGGCAGATGCCCCAAGCTGAAGTGACCACATGCAACAGCCCTTGGGTCTCTGAGTCTTAGGAGCAATGCATCAGCCAGTAATGACCTTAAGGACAGGCAGTGGTAAGCAGCTACCTAGAGACATACTTTTTAGTAGTCTGTGCAGCAGATGGTGAAAGTCATTTCCCTGAAAAAAAGCTGTCACGGTCCTCATAGATTTTCTGATTAGTAGTAGTAGTAGTAGGAGGTGAAAGAAGGATTGAAGCTTAAAGGCTATAGAAAGGGAAGAAAAGGACAGATCACTGGGAAGGGACTTAAGAACAACTGGAGTGCACCAGCATGCAGTCCATTAAACCTGGCACAGGTGTGAGAAAAGCATCTTTACTCTAACAGCTTGTTGCATTAGAGTCTCTATCAGCCCTTGGTTCCATACACTCACAGATCCAGAAGTATACGGAGGAAAGGTAGAACATTTAACTTTTTGACCCCATCAAAGTCCTGATTATATGAAATGCAGCAAAATCAAGGGATTGGCGTGACTAATCTGGGATCCTCAGCAAGGGTGTCCTAAGTAGTAGAGAGCTGGGAACTCTGAAAGTTTTTTTTAAAAAGTGATGGTCTCCACGTTTGTTATGGTTTCTTCAAAGCAGGATTTCATGTTGGTGGTTACTGAGTCCATTGCCCACCGTTCCAACTGATTCCCACCACAATTCCTAACAAGTCTTGGAAAAACTGGCTATCAAAATCCTCCCAAAGTCTATTTTGATCAGACACATGGCACTTAAACACCAATAAGCTGGTAAACATAGAACAGAACAAAAGCCTGTTTTATTTCCCAGATCCCCGGAGGAAACAGAAGAGGCCGGGTCTTTTTAAGTGTTGCAAAAGTATGATGTCCTGCCAGCAAGCTTCCCATAGCATCTGGCCACTGCTGGAGATGGGAAGTTGTGATAGATTCTCATTTGATCTGATCCAGATCCTATAGTCTTGCTATCATTGCAGAAATTAACTACACCACTAGAGGGCGCTAAGTGACAACCATGATGACAAATGGCACCCTACCATAAATGGTACATAAATTTAACATAATTTGAGTGTGCCAGCATGGAACTGTATTTGCTATATTTTGTTTAAAAAAACACAACCCCTCTTCATAATTTAGATTACGAATTACTGCTCCTGTTGGTAGGCAGCAGTTAGCGATTCTCAGTGCTAATTAGCTAGTGATTTCACAAAGCCACCTCCTTTGAGCAGGTTTTTTTTGCCCATTTTTAGAAAATGCATATATTTTCTAAAAAATTATAAAGTGACAAACAAATTGAATAAATGTACATGGAAGAAACTGACTACAGAGTATCCCTGTGCATGTCTAGTGTGTACTTTTCCACCTCTCTGTTATTACAACTGTTCCACATACTTCTGAAATCCAGGGGGAAAAAAACTTCTGGGGTAGGAATCATGGTTATTTAGACAATCTTGAGTTTTGGCATTCTTAACTGGGCTTCTAGCTGGCTATAACTGTGTTGCATTAATCTTTACATCCTTTTCCTGTCTTTTCTGTTTGTGATATAGCAAGAGCGCCTTGGGGAGATTTGCTTTTCACTCAGATATGTACCCAGCAGTAGCAAATTAACTGTGGTCATCTTAGAAGCCAAAAAACTTAAGCGGATGGATACACATGGATTGTCAGGTAATCGGGAAGGATCGCTGGAACTGACTGTTGTGTGGAGTAAAGAAAAATTAAGCAGATGCAAAGGCCTTCTAATGAGCATTGCTCAGATAAAGTCTGGAATCACACTGAAACTCCTTGACCTAATGTGGCATGGGAAAACCAGATATCTTGATCTGAATTTCCATTAGCCTTGTAATGTTCTTGATACAAAAAAGATCAACTCAAGGCCATGAAAAAGAATGTGTTGCTAAGTTTCTTGCTTTCTTATCACACAGCTGGAACAAGATTCCCCCCCCCCTCGGGTCTTTCATCTTAAGAAAAGGGAACAAATTTCCCCTTTGTGTCATACTTTGAGCAAGTCTTTGTTTTAGGAGCTGGTGGGAGTTTTGCTCACCCACCTTCAAAAAATTAAAACCACCACTTTCACCTCATGGCAAACCTTGCTGTCCAATCAGCCTGAAAAATCATGACCTGCCCAAGACCACTGAAAAGTATGCAGACGGAGAGTGATTTCAGCTAAGCATACCTTTATTTGTTGTTGTTGTTCAGTCGCACAGTCGAGTCCGACTGTTCGCGACCCCATGGACCAGCTCCCGCCAGGCCATACTGTCCACGGGGTTTTCTTGGCAAAGATACTGGAGTGGGTTGCCATTACCTTCTCCAGGGGATCACACTTGGTCTGAGTTCTCTGCTGTGGCCTGTCCGTCTTGGGTGGCCCTTCACAGCATAGCCCACAGCTTCATCGAACTGCGCAAGCCCCCTTGCCATGACAAGGCAGTGATCCATGAGGGGATATCTTTATTTAGCCCGGAACAAAAGACACCTTTGCCAGCTCACAGGCCGGTTTATATTCCCTTGGAAACCCACCACCAAAACACACCCCACTCCCCGATAGGCTATTTACGGTAACCAAGAGACCTATTGGCTTCACGGTTTGGGACCTAGCCATCTGATAGGGCCGGCTAGGATCCTTCTGGCCCATTGTCTTTAGATATGAAGCTTGAGGTTTTGTCCCTGGGCAAGTCCGGACATGGCCAGCCTTGTCAGGGCTGGATACACTACAACCACCCAATTTGGTTGGAGAGCAAATCCAAACCTGACACTTAAGTCGCTATGGAAGTGGTCCTAAATGTTATTCTATGGGGCTTACTCCCAGGAAAGTGTCCTTAGGATTTCAGCCTGATGCAGTCTATTGATGAAGTGTGATGAAGGAGCTAGGACAGTGGTGGCGAACCTATAGCACGGGTGCCAGAGGTGGCACTCAGAGCCCTCTCTGTGGGCATGTGTGCCATCACCCCAGCCAGGCCCAGACCATCACTAAAGTGTCGAATTCTCTGCCAAATAATTTTAAGTAAATGAAAGCATTTGGGATTGCTTTCCTTACTTTGTTTGGATCATCTTAAGTTAATGTATGGGTTGTTTTTCCTAAAGTAAAACCTCAGTATTCAGGTTAAATTGCCGTGTTGGCACTTTGTGATAAATAAGTGGGTTTTGGGTCGCAGTTTGGGCACTCGGTCTCTAAAAGGTTAGCCATCACTGAGGTAGGATGCGCCACAAAGTTCCAAAAGATGCATGGTGGGTTATATGAATAAACCCTGGATGAAAGTCTGGAGAAAATGGTCCCATTATGAATCAGATAGCTTTATAACAGCCACATGGTGGGGATTTTGATATTCAGGGGTTTCGTTGATTGTAACACTAAGTAGATTTCTTCAATTCCTCTACTCCATCCCAGATCCCTATGTCAAAGTGCAACTTACTTTGAACAAAAAGAAATGGAAGAAAAAGAAGACAAGTATAAAGAAAAACACATTAAGTCCCTACTTCAATGAGGCATTTGTTTTTGAAGTGCCCTTCAGTTTGATTCAGGTAAGTCCCCCTATCTACTCGACACTATTCAAAGGCAGATGTTTAGAAGGGAATTATTAACTTAGACTATGGCTCCTCTAACCCAAAGTTCCCCAACCTTTTTGAGCCTGTGGGTACCTTTGGAATTCTGGCATGGCAGGGGTCATTTCCTGCAGGAGTGCACAGGAGTGGAGCGCCGGCAGTAAAGAGCCCAGGGGGTGGGCACATGCAACAAGCCCCACCCCCTGCTCCCAGCAGCCCTCAGTCAGAGCAAGAAGCAGCCAGGTAAGCTGCAGAGCCCCCCCGCCCCCCCGGTCCAAGACAGTCCAGTGGCACCTTTAAGACCAAGTTTTATTCAGGTACAAGCTCTCCCTCCCCTGAGAGGACAGATCTGCACATTCCCCCCCCCCAATAGCTAGCAATCCAAAAGAGTCTAGTGGAGCCTGAGCGGTAGGTGTTGCCTTATGACACACTTCCGGTGATGTCAGGGGGTGTGGCACAGAGGTCATTTCGGGGGGGAACGTGGGGGAACGCAGTTCCCCCAGGTGAGGTGCAAGGGCGGGGCACATGACGAAGCCCCACCCCCTGCTTCCGGCCGCCCCACTTCCAGCCCTCATTCAGCCAGGAGGAGGCAGGAGAAGAGGGAGGGTAAGTTGCTTCCTCCCCGCCTCTCCCCACCCCTGCCTGCCTGGGGCCAGGGAGGGCCTTGGCGGGGCTTCCTCACACTTCCGCTGGCCTTGCAGGTCCACCGCCGGGCCCCTGATGTCATGGGGTGTGGCATATGCTAATGATTTTTGCTAATGAGTTCCCCTAGCTCTTTTTCTACGAAATGACCCCTGGTGTGGCATATGCAAATAAGTTATGCTAATGAGTTATGCTAATGAGCTCCTGCACCTCTTTTTCTACGAAATGACCCCTGTGGCATAGTATGGTGGACACAGCCACAAAAAGGCTGCCAGAGGAAGCAGAGCCAGCCATTCAATGGCTGCCGCAGCTTACCGTCATTCACACAACTGTGATTCAAGTCAAGTCAGCCTTTATTGGCATAAATTATCAGTACCATTTATGCATTTAAAACCAGTTAAAACTCATATATACAATTCTAGAAGGACCTTTAGCGCAGCTTTAAAGCCAAGCAGGGAAACTTAGCCACCTTCTCCGTGATGTCTGGACTGAAACCTCTTAAAAGTCTATTCACCTTAAGTGCATTAGAGCAAGCACCCATGCTGGTTAAAAGAGAGTGTAAGTAAGTGATCCTTAGGTCCATATACAAATTGCACTGCCGGAGAGCATGAGTGATAGATTCCACACATTTCGATCTGCAAGGGTAGTATCTGGCCAGATGAGAAACCTTGTTAAATCTGCCAAATAAAATGGCGGACGGCTTAGCATTACACCTGGCCAGGGTGAACGCTCTACGTTGTTCAGGGTCCTGCAGAGAGGATAGATATGAGGCCATCAGTCCTGTTGTAAGGGGAATCTCAAATTTCAAGGGGGAGTCACCTGTGATTATTTAAAAAAAAAAAATCTGCACAATCAGTCAGATCTCCAATAGCTAATTAGAAGCCTTGTGGGGCAAAAGCCCCAACCTGGCCCGCACCTACTTAAAAAAACCTGCTTGGCAGCAATGTTCCCTCCAAGCTGTGGAGTCCTCTTAGCAGAAATTCTGCTTTGTGAGCTACCGGCATTAAAGTTGTGAGCGAGTGATTTGTCTACTGCATAAATCAGTTTGCTCTGGAGCCCCATCCTTCCTGAGTGAAGACAAAAATGTGTGAGCTGGAGGCTAAAAAAACTGTGAGCTGGCTCACACTAACTCAGCTTAGAGGGAACACTGCTTGGCAGGCGCCAGGAAAGTTGTTGGGTTGGCACCATGGCCCTCTCAGGGACCACATTGGGGACCCCTGCTCTAACTCAAGGCAGCAGCATGAATTTCAGTTATACTGAATTATGCTTAGATGGTTGTGACCTGGATGAACATTAGAACATAAGAAGAGCCTTGCTGGATCGGACCAGCAGTCTATCTAGTCCAGCCTCCTGTCTCACACAAAGGCCAACCAGTTCCTCTGGACGGCCAACAATGGGGCATAGAGGCCGAGGCCTCCTCCTGGCTCTGGGATTCAGAGGACGAGTGCCTCTGAATATGTAGGTCCCCCTCAGTAGCCAATGGCTAGTCGCCATTGATAGACTCCTCCTCCTTGGATCTATCTAATCCCCCTTTTAAAGCTGTTTATTCCACCACTACATCCTCTGGCAGCAAATCCCACATTTTAATCACTCTCTGTGTAAAGTAGTATTTCCTTTTTGTCCAGCCTGAACCTACGGCCCATCAGCTTCATTGGATGCCCTCGAGGTCTAGTATTTTGGGAGAGGGAGAAAAAGTCCTCCTCGTCAGCTCTCTCCACTCCATGCATACTTTTATACAGGGGTCGTTTTGTAGAAAAAGAGCTAGGGGAACTCATTAGCATAACTCATTAGCATATGCTACACCCCCTGACATCAGGGGCCCGGCGGTGGACCTGCAAGGCCAGCGGGAGTGCGAGGAAGCCCCGCCAAGGCCCTCCCTGGCCCCAGGCAGGCAGGGGTGGGGAGAGGCGGGGAGGGAGGAACTTACCCTCCCTCTTCTCCTGCCTCCTCCTGGCTGAATGAGGGCCGGAAGCGGGGCGGCCGGAAGCAGGGGGCGGGGCTTCATCATGTGCCCTGCCCCTCGCACCTCACCCGGTGGAACTGCGATCCCCCGCGTCCCCCCCGAAATGACCTCTGCTTTTATAAACCCTCCATCATCACACACACACCCTTAGTCGTCTCTTTTCTAAACTGAAAAATCCCAGACTCTTCCGCCTTTCCTCACGGGGCAGGTGCTCCAACCCCCTCATCATCTTGGTCACCCTCCTTGTCAGGTCTCAGAAGCTAAACAGTGTTGGCCGTGGTTACTACTTGGGTGGGAGACCACCGAGGAAATCTGTGGTTGCTACCGAGAGGCAGGCAATGGCAAACCACCTCTATTTGAGCTGTCCTCGAAAAAGAACAGTTTCTGTCAAAAGCTCTCTCAGCCCCACCCACCTCACAGGGTGTCTGTTGTGGGGAGGGGAAGGGAAAGCTGCAAGCTGCTCTGAGACACCTTTGGGTAGAGAAGGGTGGGGTATAAATCCAATCTCTTCTTCTTCTTTTACCTCACAGGGTGTCTGTTGTGGGGAGGGGAAGCGAAAGGAGTTTGTAAGCCGCTCTGAGACACCTTTGGGTAGTGAAGGGCGAGGTATAAATCCAATCTCTTCTCTTCTTCTTCTACCTCACAGAGTGTCTGTTGTGGGGAGGGGAAGGGAAAGGAGTTTGTAAGCCGCTCTGAGACACCTTTGGGTAGTGAAGGGCGAGGTATAAATCCAATCTCTTCTCTTCTTCTTCTCCCTCACAGAGTGTCTGTTGTGGGGAGGGGAAGGGAAAGGAGTTTGTAAGCCGCTCTGAGACACCTTTGGGTAGTGAAGGGCGAGGTATAAATCCAATCTCTTCTCTTCTTCTTCTACCTCACAGAGTGTCTGTTGTGGGGAGGGGAAGGGAAAGGAGTTTGTAAGCCGCTCTGAGACACCTTTGGGTAGTGAAGGGCGAGGTATAAATCCAATCCCTTCTCTTCTTCTTCTACCTCACAGAGTGTCTGTTGTGGGGAGGGGAAGGGAAAGGAGTTTGTAAGCCGCTCTGAGACACCTTTGGGTCCTGAAGGGCGGGGTATAAATCCAATCTCCTCCTCCTCTTTTTCTTCTTCTTCTCGTTCACTGCTACAGCAGCATCCTTTATTTATTTATTTGTTTGTTTGTTTGTTGTATTTATAACCCGCCCTCCCCGCGAGCGGGCTCAGGGCGGCTCACATTGCCTGGCACAGTGTGCCAAGGTTCATAGACAGTCAAAACCTTTAAAGCTTAAAACATTTAACACTTTTGAAACATTTAAAACATTTAAACAATCGACGATTGCCGAATTACGTGCACTCAGTGATTATTAACCAAGATGGCGTGACGTGTCACGCAGGCTCAGGCTATTACAGGCTCCTAGGCAGTTTGGCCCGATCTTACTGCAGCCAGTCTCCACCACAGATATTATTAATGGTCGTTGATGGTAATGTGGGTGGCTCCTAATTGAAGACCTGGTGGAAGAGCTCCATCTTGCAGGCCCTGCGGAACCGCACAAGATCCCGCAGGGCCCTGATCTCCTCCGGGAGCTCATTCCACCAGTAAGGAGCCGCCACTGAGAAGCCCCTGGCTCCAGTAGCTGCGAGCCAGGCCTCCCTGGGGCCTGGAATAACCAGTCGGTGTTGCGCCCTTGACCGTAGTGCTCTCCAGGGATACTTGGGTGTCTGTGGAAGCTGGGGAAGTCAGTCCACGGACATCAGGCACTCTGAAACAACTATGCTTCTCAGGGTTTCTGTGGCACGTGGAGTACTGTCACAGGCAGGGGGGGAAAGAGGGCGCAAAAGAAACCTGCCCCTACTGCCACAGCAGTAACCAGGTAAGGAGATTTCACAAGTGAAGGGTGGGGAGACAGAGAAGAAGATTAAACCTGATGCCGTCAAGATTAAACCTGATGCCGTCAAGACTACGGTGGTGGTGGAGAGCATTGTCAAGTCACGGCTGACTTATGGCAACCCCTGGTGGGGTTTTCAAGGCAAGAGACATTCAGAGGTGGTTTGCCATCGCCTGGCCTCCGTGTCACGACCCTGGCATTCAATCTATTTACTATCCAGGGCTGACCCTGCTTAGCTTTTGAGATCTGATGAGGTCCGGCTAGTTGGGGCTACAGAGATTACAGCAGGGTTTAAAACTGCCATGGGAAAGTAGTTCTGTTAGGAAAAGGTAAAGGTTTCCCTTGCGCGAAAGCCAGTCAAATTTTACTCTAGGGAGCTGGGCGCTCATCTCTGTTTCCAAGCCGGAGAGCCAGCGCTGTCCGAAGATGTTTCCGTGGTCATGTGGCCGGTATGACTAGATGCCGAGGCACACGGAGTGCTGTTAGCTGAGCCCTATTATTTAGGGTGGTGGTGGTGGAATATTTCTCTAAATTCATTTCTTCCTCATCTCTTCCTTCACCTCTCCTCATTTTATGTCTTTGTGTCTTCTTTTAGAATGTGGACTTCGTGATCTCAGTCTGGGATCATGATAAAATGACCAAGGATGACCAGATTGGCAAGGTGTTCTTGGGCTGTAGAGCTACCGGCAACCAGCTGCGTCATTGGTCAGATATGCTAGCCAATCCCCGCAGGCCAGTCGCACAGTGGCACAGCCTACAGCCTGTGGAAGACGTGGACAAAACCTTGGGGCTGAAGTCTCGCTTCAAGCTGCCGATACCCAACAGCTAAACAGAACAGCTCTCTCTAGTCCTCTCCGACTTGATAAGGGGGTAATCCATATATTCTAGGATCAAAAGGGAAAGTTTGCAAAATGGGCTGGTTACCCAAATTGCAGAAGATAACAGCCTGAGCCGTGTAACATCTGGATCTTTTAGAAATGTAGCTAAAAGTATGCTGCGCATGAGAATTAACCCTGGGCCAAGCAAAGGACAATTCATTATGTCTGCAGTGCACTGTCCTAGGAAGAATGCCATACTTCAGGCTGATGGAGATGCCCATGGTAGTATTTCCGATACATGATGTGGCCACGCAAGATTGAATTGAAAGCCATGATGTTAATACGATGTGGAAAAGGCAGCATGTGTAATTGTGTGGAGCCACTGTTTTTATCCGGCCTAAAGAGAAGAGAATGATTAGGATGGAAACATAATTGCAGTCATGATCATTACCCATGTTAATATTTTACCATTCCAGCTACAGAGACGATCACTAATAAAGGGCTTGTTGAATACAAGGCAATAACCAAATGCATCTTTTAACATTGCTACTAGCTATTTAAGCAGATTTTAGATATATTTTTTTAATGACACAAGTTCAACACTGAGTGTGTGTATACATAGGCTGAGGACAGACTGGCAGTATGAAGCACGAGGGAGGCAGAGCAAAGAGACCCGGACCAAGTTGTGCCGGGGATTCCCGGTCGCACTGCACCTACTGATGCGGGAGCATTCCGGAGAGGAGGCGCAAGGGAGCGTTCGCACTGTTGGCACGCCCTGGCGGAGACGCACCTGTAAGCGGCTTTTTTCCACTCCGGCGACATGCACCTATGCGCATAGGTGCAACAATGCAGCTTGTTTGCGGCTCTTAGCGTGCACACTTCCGGGAAGCGGGATCAACGCGCCCTCCAGGGTTTGCTACAGCTTTCACCTGCTACTTTTTTAACGCAGTAGGGAATCGTCACAGGATGGGTTGAGTACGGCTGGGGAACGCCGTACAGCTGTGGCTGTGTGAACCGGCCCCTTTAATCCATTTGTGAAACGTCACACAGGGCTCTCTTTGTAGCTGGAACTCCTTTGCATATTAGGCCACACACCCCTAATGTAGCCAATCCTCCAAGAGCTTACAGAGCTTTTCTTACAGGGGCTACTGTAAGCTCTTGGAGGATTGGCTACATTAGGGGTGTGTCACTTAATATGCAAATGAGTTCCTGCTACAAAAAGAGCCCTGGAACGTGCCTCTATCGAGCCAAACTGCCAGTCTGAACTCGCCCATAGAGTGGATGTGTAAGGATGAGAAGCAAACAGATTGAATAGTTCAATCACTGTTCTCCAGGGGTGACAAGGATCACACCTGTCTCAGTTCCACGTCACTTGCAATTCATCACAACTTGGCTTATGTCTCCTTATCAGCTGGGCTGCTTTTAGATGGTCTGTTTCTCAGGTGGATGCATGCTAGTTAATGACCCTCCTATGCCCATAAATTATACAGGAACCCTGCCGATCATTACCTCTCGTCCAACAAGAACACAGGGGATTGAACAGAGTTACCTCGATGGCCTTTTCTACCCAGAGGCTGTCCCATCTTCTAGGGGGGGGGGGTCCCATCTTCTTGCCATGAATTATGAAGAGACATTTTTTATAATATTCTGCACAGTTCTGCATGGCTTTAATTTTCAGTTCCCGGAAGTACTACTTTCTACACTTATAGGCCCCGGTCACACAGAGAATTTGCTGCGCGAAAGGCATGAATGTTGGGCGGATTTTCGGGGTGCAATCAACCTCTATAACATAATATTTCTGTCACTGGGTAGGTAAGGGTTTAGGCGTTCACGAGGGTCTATGTGTTTCCTGGGAAGAATTTCTTTCAGAACTGGTATCTTAACTAAAAGTAGATTTATTGATATTTCACACACTTTTCTCTCCCACTGTCAGGGATCTGGGCATGCAACTTTGTAACACTTTTTTCCCTTTAGGCCATACACGGTTACTGTTTCTTTATACTTCAACTTTTCATAACACACACGACTGTCTCTCCTTCAGACTTCAGAATGAACTAAACTTATCAATTGTCTTATTCAACTCTAAGACATAGAACTTAACAACCCACACAGGGAAGCCTCTCCTTCAACTCTCATACATATCTTAACTCTTTTACTACACAGAACCAAATTATCCCACACAGGGATGTCTCCTTCTCTCAGAGACAGAACTTTACTGCTTAACTGAACATCAACTGTCATATCTCTAACTGACACTCTTGACTGACATATCTGCTCATCCACACAGAATCATTTCCAAAACCCCTCCCCCTCTCTGTCACTCACCAATCATATCACTTGCCTAATTCCAGCACTCTAGATTATCATCACAGCCATGCAAACCAAACTTTTAAAGCCACACACACACAGTTAAACATGAAATCATTACAAGGTGCAAGGGAGTGTTCGCACTGTGGGTTCGCCCCTGGCGGAGACGCGTCTGTAAGTGGCTTTTTTCCACTCCGGCGACATGCACCTATGCGCATAGGTGCAGCAATGCAGCTTGTTTGCGGCTTTTAGCGTGCACACTTCCGGGAAGCGGGATCAACGCGCCCTCCAGGGTTTGCTACAGCTTTCACCTGCTACTTTTTTAATGCAGTAGGGAATCGTCACAGGACGGGTTGAGTACGGCTGGGGAACGCCGGACAGCTGTGGCTGTGTGAACCGGCCCCTTTAATCCATTTGTGAAACGTCACGTGCCTCTATCGAGCCAAACTGCCAGTCTGAACATGGCCAAAGAGTGTATGTGTAAGTATGAGGAGCAAACAGATTGTATAGTTCAATCACTGTTCTCCACGGGTGACAGGGATCACACCTGTCTCAGTTCCACGTCACTTGCAATTCATCACAACTTGGCTTATGTCTCCTTATCAGCTGGGCTGCTTTTAGATGGTCTGTTTCTCAGGTGGATGCATGCTAGTTAATGACCCTCCTATGCCCATAAATTATACAGGAACCCTGCCGATCATTACCTCTCGTCCAACGAGAACACAGGGGATTGAACAGAGTTACTTCTATGGCCTTTTCTACCCAGAGGCTGTCTGCCAGAACCCACAGCCAACAACGGAGTACACACTTCTTTAGAAAGGTGATGCTTTTATTGAACAGCCATAGATGCATTAACACAGTCACTGTTAAGAATAGCGGTTGCCTCTTGAACCTAATGGGATATAGGGCATTCGTATGCACCCCCCACTGCGCTGGCCAATTAGGCACCCTCCCGCGCGCGGGCTAGAGCCAGCAAGTGTTACTATGCAAAGCTGGGAATATTTCAGCTCCCAGGGCTGGCTACCTGCACTTCTTAAGAGATAAGCATTTCAGCGCAAAGCAGGAGAGAGAAAGGAATGCGAAAGCCGTTTACACAGATACTGAAAGAACATCCCAACCCCCATGGCAGCATAGCTGACACTGTCCCATCTTCTAGGGGGGGTCCCATCTTCTTGCCATGAATTATGAAGGGACATTTTTTAATAATATTCTGCACAGTTCTGCATGGCTTTAATTTTCAGTTCCCGGAAGTACTACTTTCTACACTTATAGGCCCCGGTCACACAGAGAATTTGCTGCGCGAAAGGCATGAATGTTG